GGGTTTCATAGTTGCCTATGCAGCACGTCTCCTCTCGCCATGTCACCGTTGGGGTAATATGCTGTCTAAGCAGTCCACCACTGGTTTACCTACTTCACACCACTGTCAAGTATTGTATTTTGTTGATGTCATAAAGATTACCATTTCATTTCCAACCTCTGTTTTGGTTATTCCTCATTCAGTAACCCTTTCTAGGTTACAACACTTTTTATTCATCAAATTTGATTAACTGGCCTATTAAATCTATCTATCTATCTATCTCTCTCTCTCTCTCTCTCTCTCTCTCTAGGGTCCAGGACAAGGGAAAGTTTTTTCATGAGAGATTGGTAGTTGTCCATGCAGCACGTCTCCTCTCTTCACATCACCAATATTGTTCAAGGAAAAAGCAGAGGCCAATACATCTTGGCACTAGCAGTGTCACAGGAGAAATTGGACATGATATCAGACTGTCTTAAGGAGTGTGGCTCAGGATTTGAGTTCAGAGTTTTCCTTCTCCTTGTTTGGTTATCAACCATGACTACAGATCCCAAATGGCCCTACTATTTCCCTATATTTAGAGGTTTTAAATTCAAAGTTTTCCTTCTCCTAGACTGATTACCACTCAACCCAGTCTGCCCTGCTATTTACCCATAGCTGTGGGCAGAAGAGATGGAGTCATACCTTTCTGAAGGGTATTAGCATATAAGTCAATGTAATGAATGCAATTCAGTCTCTGTTCTCTGATTCCTCAATCGAAGCTGAAATCCATCACTTCACTGTGCCTCCACTATATATATATATATATATATATATATATATATATATATATATATTCTAGGTGGCATTTAAGCTAGCTCCTGTGGAGGGCTGTTGATTGGACATTCATTGCAATAGGTAGGAAGGAGTAGATGCAATTGCAATAAGCTACAATGAACTATAGAAAAACTCAAAAATGATCACTTCATTTAAGTACTGCATTAATATTTAAGCTTACCTTTTAAAAGGTCAAAGCTAATTCTTCTGCCACCACTTAATTTAAAGGCAATTTGATGCACATAAGTCCTTACTTTCCATACAAACAATTATTTCTATTTTGTGGCTGACTTTCACTAGATTTTGATTATTCCCAAATTATTTTTATGTTACAAAAATCGTTATCATACAAAAAAATTTGTCACAGAAAATCATATTAAAAAAAATCGCAGTAATGAAAATTTGGGAATCCCAAATTTCAGGATTGTGGGTCCGGATTCAACCCAGAATATTTTTAATTTGTTCACGGGGTTGGCCTTATTCCAGAATGGTATGATATGAGGCCTACAGCTTCTAGGAATAAAGTTAAAATAGTGCGACACAGTGACACACTGACATTGGCATTTATTATATAGAAGATGAGCTATTGAGAGTTGTGTCCTTTAAATGAAAAAAAGTATGACACAGTGACACACAGAGATTGGAGTTATATATATATATATATATATATATATATATATATGTTTAAATATTTCTATCTACCCAATTTTATTCACAAGGCTTAGATCAACCCATGATGTGGCATTCAGGCATCTTCCAAAGGTGCAGCACATGGGAATCACCTCCCCATGTCAATATAATCAAGAAGTCACCTTCCTGACAAATTAAACTGGGTCTAACCACTTAGATATGCCATGTGCATATATATATATATATATATATATATATATATATGGGAAAGGTATGAATGCATCACTTGCCCCCCACCAGTTATGGTTAAATAGCAGGACAGACTGGGTTTTATAGCTTTGGGTCTAAGAGAACAACAACTCTGAATTCAAAACCTGTGGAAGGTCATTTGTGCACCAGTTCTCTGTATTCAGCTCTTCCAAAAAGTGTGGTTGGTTCTGCACAAGTCTTCACCACTATAAACAAATGATATATGTGAATAGTCTGGCTGCCTGTTTGACCTTCATATGTTGAAAATGACTGGAGAGTCAAGTATATATATATATATATATATATATATGAAGAAATATAGTCTTAAGGTGTGCTATATTTATGGGATAAAGTGCTCAATATCAGAGATAGAGTGTGTGTAAATATAAAAGTGAACATAGAAGTCAACACTTAGAGGCGACAGTCTGTTTCATGCTAGATGCAATCATCGGACCATGTGTGCTGTTATTTTTCTCGGCTATTTATATATATACGGGTCAGTGGTGCATTGTGGGTATTCTATTATGGCGGTTATTTTACCGGAAGTCGTTTATTTATTTATTTGGGTTAAATTATTTTGCTTGTTTTTTATTTATTTTTATTTTTTGTTTCTTATTTTATTTTTTTTATTTTTTTTTTTTTTTTAATCGGTGTTTTTATTAACATAGTAAAAATTTGATAAAATTTTATTGTTATCAAATGATTTGTTTTTTTATGTTTAAGGCTTCTTGTATTCGTAATCTATTTTTTATAGTTTTTGTGATATATCATGCCCTACCTTGCAAGAACTCCAATTCATTAACTTAAACAGAGTTGCTGGCCTTCATGTCCACAGCTCACATGATAAAAACAATCCTTAATTTCATCCGGTTCCATGCATCCACTTCTGGAATACTATCCAAAAATACCAGGGTCTTTTCTAACCAACCAGATAAAGCCCAAATGGTTTTCACAGTAGACGCTTCTGATCCATCCACTGACTATCAAGCCATCACCATTTTGATCAATGAAGGCAGATTCAACATGGCTGGCATTAGTAATGAATCTCATATGCCAGGAAACCTTAACCAGGCCATCAGCAGCGACAAGGTGCTTCCATTAACAGTGATGCTTTCAGCCAGATACAAAACCAGAGACTAGCTCTTAAATACTACAATATGATAATTCATGGAATATTTCACCTATGATACTATCTCACTCAACTATATATGCATGTTGATTTTCTCAGTATGTCTATCTTGACTACCACACTGCATTATGCCTTGAGCAAACTCTTAGTCCCCCACAACTGATATACAATGCCCCAAAATGTGCAAAGAATCGAACCTTGTAAGTCATGCGAAATAAATTATCTCAACTGCATTTTATCTCAATTACCTGTTGTGTCACACCCACTTTTTTCTGGTTAACGTTAAGTCTGCCATTACAAGTATTTTTTGTAAGTATTTGTTAGATTCCTTGTGTGAGTTAGTGTTATGTAATTTAATTGAGCTTTTATTGGATAAATGACATGTTAATTTTTACTCACTCCTACATGGATCTGTTCACTACTTCTTCACCTATCCCTCTGCCTGCTACTCTTCTCTATCTCTTATTCTCTACATTATCAAATCTTTCATTCTCATTTTATTTCTTCTTCCTCCATTTTTCTTTTTCTTATTTACTTTCCTCTTTCCTTCTCTTTTTTTTTTTTTGCTTGCTTTTTTAGCTGTATATCATTCATTTTTTTTTAATTTTGGGCCTCTTTTTTCAAGATTTAATTTTCTTTGATCATTTTATAATCTCCTTCACCAACTTTTATTTTTTTTCTTTCTCTGAATTTCTGATTCTCTCTTCTTTCTCTTTATTTACATTGTTTGAACTGTTGTCCTCATCTTTATTGCCATATTCACAACTTTTTGACTGTTGTACACTCTGGTCTACTTTGGGTGATATATTGTTGGAATTTGAAAACGAAACCTTTATTTCATCCACTGCAGAAAATTTCATGTGCCATACCTTTTCTGGATATCTCAGTTCCAGTTATTTCGTTTTTATAACTCAACTCAACTTTGTTTCGTTTTGTTCACCTCTGCTGTAGCCAAGTATTGAACTCACAACTCTTTGCGTCAAGTCACTGGATTACTTCAACCAACACCTTTATCCACTGAGCCATGTGTGTCTTTATATTTTTGATTCTTCTATTTTACCTCTTCTGCCTCTTTTGTCTTCTCCTCATTTGAATATCTATTTTGTCCTAGTGTTTCATTAGATGCTCTTCTCTGTCAACACATTTACTGAACAATTTTTTCTGTCTATGATTGCTTCCCTTTTTTTATACATATTTACTAAGAATAAATTGTATATCAAATTATGAAAGTCTAAGAATATGATATTAGTTATCAAGCAATAAAACCTGCTATTTCTGGTATATCCATAAACAGCAACAAACTTGATGTCAGAAATTGTAAAATTTGACTCTCCACCATTAATTTTCATCCTCTGCTATTGAGTTTTTGGAGGTTTTTTTTAATATAGATTATAACTAAAATTATGTAGAATAATAGTAAACGAGTAGTGGAAAATCAATGGACAACAACAAAAAGTTGAAATCTTGCTGACATCTGAAGGAAAACTGGTAACCATTTTTAGTGAAATTATTAAGGCTTACAGTAGCCACTTCATGTTGAAACATTGGTTCCTCGTATGATCACTGAAGTTAAGCAATGTCAAGCCTGATCAATGCCTAGATGGGTGACTGCTTAGGAATACCATGTTCCGTAATCATTGATGTGCAGGTGGTTTAATGGATAATACTAATATGTATCAGAAACTTGGACATTATCTGCTCATCTTGAAAGACGACTGGATGGAACATATACAAATCTACATAGAAAAATGCAGAGCATTAGTTAGAGATCCCATGCAATGCTTAAAACAATTTATGGAGAACTGAGACTAATGACCTAACAAGCAATACAATGTGTGGTAAGTGAATCTGTAGAAGCCCAATGAAGTATAGGACCATATCCTCACCCTGCTAGGTGGTGCTGCTGCAGTTGATTCATTGATTTATTTTTTACAGGTTATCAACCTTTTACAGGTTATTTAAAGTTGGAAAATAATCTTAGATTGTAAGAATATTTTTTGAGATAATAATGATTTTACTGATACAAGTTCTACTAATTAACCTACAACATGGGAAGAAAATAGATGGATTCATACCTTTCCCAAAGGTATTTGTATGTAAGTGAATATAATGTACCCAAATAGAATTTTTATAAAACTCAGCTCTCCAATTTCCAATTTTGCACTTTTATCCATTATACAACCTGTGCATCAAAGCTTAAAGCACCTGTTATTCCCAAGTGGTCACCCATCAAGTTACTGACTAGGCTCAATGTTGCTTAACTTTAGTGATTGAATGGGAACTGGTGTTTCAAAGTGATACAGTTTTAGTCGCAAGTAGGTTTTAGAAGGTCAAGTTGCTAGTCCAATGCCCAGCCATTTTGAATTCAGAATTGTCTATCTTCTAGATCAGTTAACAATCAAAGCTAGAGAGCCCAATCTTCCCTGCTATTTAATACATCGCTAGGGGGAGAAAAAATGGATTCATACCTTTCCCAAGGGTATTATTTGTACATAGATGAATGCAACTGTCTTGGCTGGAATTTGAATTCGAAATATCCATCCTACTTTATGTGACTGCTATACTATGTACAGTGTTGTTTGATAAAAATGACTCACCTGAATTTTTTTTACTAAAAATATTTTTTCTCTGTTGTTTTGGGGGTTAAAATAATTTTTAATCTTCCTAATATAAAGACACCTTCCCGACCATCTAGAAAAAAAAGTTTATTCACCCTAAGGTATTGATAATTATAAATTTGGATATAAATGAGATTCAGGAAAAAAACTCTGTGCAAAAAAGTTACTCAGATATTGCATTCTAATGATTAAACTGGTAAATTTAAAGAGCTTTTGACAAAATATTGAAAACTATTTTACAATACACTCAGAACAATATTCTACAGAATTCTAGAACAGCTTAAATTAAATCTAGAGTATTCCAGAATATTCCAGAAAGCCTTATACAGTATAAAAACAGCCTGAAATAGCCACTCAAGTCACTAACCAGATGAAAGGGTACAAACAGGCATCAGAACCACTTAAGGCATCTATTATTGCCCTCTCAAAAGCAGGCAAGTGTACAAGAGAAATTGCAGAAATTGCTATAACCTCACAATCAACTGTCTCTCAAGTGCTTAGGGCATATAATGATGCTACTCCTGCTCCAAGGAAGGAAACAAGGGGACAAAAGAAAAAGATTGATGATAGAACTGGCAGCGTAATCAAGAGAGAAGTTGTGAAGAATAGGACTATAACTAGCCAAGAAATTGCAGCCAGTCTAAGCGAAGAGCAAGGTGTTAGTCTGGCCTCTTCAACAGTCCATCAGAACAAGGTTACAAATCTTGTTAAAACAAGGCTATAAATCTTGTACATAAAGGTTTAAGCTGCTAATAAGCAAAGCCAACAAAGCCAAGAGACTTGAATGGGCTCACTATTACAAAAATTTCACCGTAGAAGACTGGAAGAATGTTCTCTTCTCTGATGGAACGGAAGTTGAGCTAAATTCAAAGGATAAGGTGAGTCACTTTTATCGAACAGCACTGTGCACTTCTTTGTATTAGATTCCAATTCAACCAGCACCAAAATACAACAATGATTGCTGTTTTAATCCCCCACTGATATTCTGTCAGTTTCATTTTTACTGTCTTCAGTTTCTTTTTTCTCTTTTTACATTCCTTCTTTTTATTCATCTTCTCTATTTATTCCTTTAAATTTTAAATGATACTATCATTATTTTCATAGGCAATGCTTTGACAAGCTACATAACCTAGTTCCACCAATTCAGACCTTTACAGCTAAGACTCACCATGCTATATACACAAGGATGAACCATCCACATATTCCATTGACAAAAAGGAAGTTCCATTTGGACATCTTTGTCTCTCAAACTATCACTTTGGAGAACAGATACTCAAGAGGATGCTATCCCATCCGCTACAATCTTCACTCTTTCAAGTCTTGAGCAAACCATTATAATACATATCCTCATTATCTACAATTTTTATGTCCAGAAAATAATCCCATTCAATATTCCTCTATCTTGTTTGCTTATTGGGTTAGACGGTCTCCTCAAAGATGAAGAAGTGACTCAACAGAGATATGTTTCAACAGAAGGATGCTAAGGATATCTAGGACTGATTGTGTAAGCAACGGTGAAGTTTTAGAGAGGGTGCAAACAAGGAGGAAGCTTATACTTAACATCAAAAAGAGGCAGGTGAAGTTCCTGGGTCACATAATGAAGAAGGAAGGCCTAGAAAATATGATACTCACAGGTGGAAGAGAGGGAAAGAGAGACAAGGGAAAGCAATGCATGACATACCTGGTAGGCTTAAGCAAGTGGATGACTGAATGTGATCTGAGGCAGGTGGCATAGGGAAGAAACTTATTGAGAACTACAAGAGATAGGGGAAAGTGGAGAGCAATGATCGTCTACATCCTGAAAGAACATGGCACATAAAAAGAGAAGAAAGAATTAGGCAATTTTTTTTTTAAGCGTTACACCCCAAGCAAGGCGGGAAGATACTAGGACGCAAGGGGTTACAGAAAATTTGGAGCAAGATCGGATAGGAGTGATAGAAAAAAGGATGAGGAGAAGGGTAGCGGATAGATCAAGGCAATTGGAGATGTCGATTGACATTACATTTGAAGAGCTGGAGATTATAGCTCTCAGGGAAACTGGAATAGGGAAGGGAGTTCCACAGGTGAGAGGTGCAAGACATGAAGCTATTGGAATAGAAGAGACAGCTACATTTAGGAGTTTTGACAATGAAGGGGTGAGAGCGGGATGCCAGCCTCGTAGAGCACTTGAACTCATGAAGTCTGGGAACCAGCGAATGCAGCTCCTCAGAGCAATTGCCATGAAAGTATTTGTAAAAAAGACAGAGAGAGGCGACAGCATGTCTGTGAGAGAGTGACTGTAGGCGAGATGCGAGAACAGGGCCAATTATATTGCATATCCGCCTCTGGAAATTGTACTACGCTTACACTCGTTACAGGCAGAGGCAAAGAGACGTCTATTGCAGTCAGACATGTTACTACAGAATAGGTGAAAAAAGTGGTTCCTATAGGCGATGGTGGCTGAGCAAGCAGCGGAGAACCAGGGGGAGGAGCGCAACTTGACCCTATATTTCCTTGAGGGGATGAAAGCGTCAATTCCAGCTTTAACCCAGGATGAGACCTCAGAAGCACATTCTTGGACAGGGAGCATAAAGACACCATCCCAGGGGTCATCGCGGAGGAAATCATGGAACGCATCTCAGTCAGCTCGTTGATAGTAGAACGAAGTTCTAGTGGTAGGAGGTTCTTTGCAGCAGGTGGAGTTGGAGGAGATGTTAACAGATACTACCGCATGATCAGAGTTACCAAGAGGGCAGAGTTGCGTGGAGCTACAGGACTCGGGAATGGTGGTAAAACACAGATCAAGAAGAGAGACTTTACCTTCCCGGTTGAAGGCAAAATGAGTGGGGATGTTAACTATCTGCGTGAGGGATTGAGAGACTGAAAAATTGAGCGTTTGAATGCCTGCATGGTCAGTAGTAGCATTCTTAAGCCACATGGTATGATGGTCGTTAAAGTCGCCAAACACAAATATGTGAGAAAACGGGTGGAGGGAGAGAGCCTTGTCTATGCTATCAGAAATGCTATCGAGTATCCCACAGTCTTGAGAGGATGGAGAGCTGTAATGTCATGGCCAAATTTTCTTTCCTCTTTTGTATCATTTAAAATTTCTATTCTTTCTACTATTCTATTTTGTCACATTTTTTTAATTCTTTTCTTCTTTCTCGTTTTATTCATTTTTTTCATTCTTCTATTTTCCTCTTTATTCATCATATTTTATTCATCTTTTTTATACTCCCTATACCAACATGATCTTTTTCAATATTTTTTCTCACTCATTCATTTCATTTTTCACTTCCTCTCTTTTTCAATATGCTTTTATCTATTTCTTTTCCCCTTCTTCATTCATTTCTTTTTTTTCACTTCCTCTCTTTTTCAATATCCTTTTTTCTCTTTCTTTTCCTTGTCTTCATTCATTTCTTTTTTTACTACCTCTATTTTTCAATATGCTGCTTTCTCTTTCTATTCCTCTTCTTCATTCATTTCTTTTTTCACTTCTTCTCTTTTTAAATATGCTTTTTTCTTTCTTTTTGTCTTGTTCATTCATTTCTTTTTCACTTCCTCTCTTTTTCAATATACTTTTTCTCTTTTTTTTCCTCTTCTTCATTCATTTCTTTTTTTTTTCACTTCCTCTATTTTTTCAGTATTTTCTCTTCTCCTTCTATTTCTCTCCTTCCTCATTCATTTCTTTCTTTCATTATTTTCTTTTTTTATTCTATTTCTCTTTTATCCACTTCCTACCTTTCTTTCAATATTTTCTTTTCTCCATCTTGCATTTCCTTTTTCTTTTCTTCCTCTTTCATTTCTTTTTTCTCCTCTCTTTCTGTCTATCCTTGACACATGCAGTTCTACACTTTTTGTTTTCTTTTTGAAAAGCTTCTGTAACTGTCACATTGACCAGATTTATTGGACTCAGTATAAGGAGGTTAACAGCTTCTCAAGTTTAATTAAATTTTCTTTCCAGGTGTACCAGATGGGCTTGACTCAATCCACGTTTAATTAGACAACAATCAATTATTTGACAAATCAAAGATGGTCTATATTGACTATGTTCTTTTCAATACAATAAAAATTAGTTTTTTTGAAACTTTTCTTTTTCTTAATCTTACACCTTTGCTTTTATAGGATTTAAATTTCCTGAATATTTAACTACATATGGGAGACAACTCTTACAGGAGAGATAGAAAGTGCAGACACATTACTTTTTTATTTCTGTTATGGATTTTTTTTTAAAATTATGCAATGGTTTAATTAATAGCAATAATTAAATTGTTTTCTTTTTTTAATCAAATGATTAATCTCCTACATAACCTCATATTTGCATATTATCTCTGTTGTACTACTTTTAAAACTGTCATCTACAAATTTAGCATCAAAGATAAGAAAATTGAACATAAAATAGGCTGTTCTAATGGTAGGTTCACCCAACACCACAAATTACTGAAAAACAAAAACATTAACTTAAAACTGAAGTCATGTCCTTAAATAGTCTTGTCAGATCAAGAATTTCATATGGATATGGTGCCTTTTAGAAATATCTAAACTGTCAGCTGTATACAATTGCTGTCTCAGACCAATGATTAAAAATGACTTCACTCAAATGAAACTTGTAGGCCTTAACAAATATCACTCTTCTTTGAACTTTGTGGTTTGGTTTGGTTTGGTTTGGTTTATGGCATATCAATCTCAATGGGTT